GCGAATCGCTGCCAAATTGGTACCAGTACCAGCCAAAGCCAAAGACTGTCAGACGTCGATTTGCGGCATTTTTCGTTGGCTTTTCTTGATTGTTGTTTTTGTTGCTGCCGATTGAAAATTGTTCGCAGGTGGTTTCCGTCGGTTAAGTCGAGTCAAAATGCTTCGGCTGGCTGGGGCCTTGGATCGGTTTCGTTATAGGTTTAGTTGGTTTTGGTCAGTTATGGGGTCTTTTTGACGCCCAAAAACATTGGCGGTTGCATGCAAAAACATTTGCCTATTTTCAAACGCAAACATGCTGCATATAGGAAGTTGGGTTAGTTTTTTGTTTATTAGCACTTAAAGTGGGTTTTAATGCTCTCATTCCTTTTATTGTTTCAATTCGAATTGTGTTAGGAACGGAAAATAAATTTTATAATTCATTATAAATAACTTTAGAAATCCAATTCTTATAAAAAGCTGAACAATTTTGGGGACAAATAAATTATTTCCTCAGAGGAGCAAGGAAAATCCCTTTTCTGCTACCACTTTCTCCGAAAAATGTCATAAAATGTCTAGCAATAATGTCTCCATAAAATTTTCAAATATCTATTTATATTTCCAATTCCATTGCATTTCATTTTTCATAACCTATCTTTCGGTTAAGTCTAGACTTACTGCTGGATTAAAAATTAAGTGGCAAGTTCAACATAAATCAATGTCTATTTATGGGAAATGTATAAAATTGAAAGGGGCCCTCAACGAAAACAAATGTAAAATACAACTTTTAATTTGCTTCTGTGAGGTTATTTTCAAAATAAGCAGAAAAAGAAAACACTTTTATGTACTTTTGTCCCCCTTTTTATGCTTTAAAAGTAATACATAAATCATTTATTAATGGCCATATCCCGAGGAGTTAAGTGGTTAAAACTGTAAACTAGTCTTTTCTTTTTTGCCGCCTTTTCTTTAATTTCCGTCGTATGACTACAAAAGTATTAAAGAAATATCACTTACTTTTTAATATACAATTTTAATTAAAACTATAGTAAAAAGAAAGCTTATTCCAATTCGAAACCTGGTTCTTTGAATTACCTAAATTATTAAATGGCTATGTAAAATGGGAGATCTTTTTCAAAATTCCCAAAAAATTATCTTTCGCTCGTTTTTTTTTTGGGAGGAAATTAGCATAGAAAAAAGTGAAAGTGTTTGCAGCTGCAGTGAATTTAATATGTAGCAGCACCAACAACCGAACCAGACATCATGTGCAGCATTTAGACCTCGCCCTCTTCTCTCTAAATTACCCATGAATCGAGCCTCACTTGGCCGTCAAAAGGGCGCAAAGTGTGGATAATTTTTTTTCCCAATTTTTTAAAGCTCTTTTTACTTTGGGAAAATGCCTACGAAGCGGCATGGAAAGTGCCAGCCCACGCCGCAGATTATGAAAAACTGTGGAAGTGCAGCGGAGGGGGGCGGAGGAACTGACGGCTCAGATTGCCTCAAGTTCAGTGCTTTGATTTTCAATTCAGTTCACGATTTGCATGGCTAGACGAGATACTTATTAACCCAAACCCAAGTGCTCCAACAAGAAGCGTGATCCAAGTTTTTGGTCACACACCCCGAGGGCGGGATCGGTTGCACTTGTTGTTGCTGCTGCCCCATGTTGCATGTTGGCTAAGTCCGCTGGACTAATTGCCATTGAGTCAGTTAATGATACATGAAGTTTAATGTTTGGGAAACATTTGCCAGACAAGTCTGAATTACCAAAATAGCCAAGGGCGTAGCTTTAATAAATGTTTTTGTAATGTCGCAGCTCCCCATTCAATTATAAAAAATCAACATTTTTGTAGTATCTGTTTAATACAACTACTTTTTGTTTTTTCGCGAAACGTTTCTATTAGGAAAGACCAAGATTTCTTTAATAAATAAATTTGGTAATGGTTTTTTAATTGTTCTGCTATTATCATAAAATTTAAACTGTCGTTTTCAATACTAAACAAAAACCCAAATGAAGTCATTTTTCTGCACATCAATGATTATTTCATCTCTTGGGCAATTTGAAAGGCGCAGAATTTTAACGACCCTCTGGAAAAAAGACTAGACACTCAGTAAGGACTTTGAAAATATTTAGGAAAATAGGTTTTTCTTCTTCATTGTTTGTCTTCCACATTACTTTGAATTCGTTTTGAGTGCCAGGGCGAAGGTGGGATGAAGGAGGGGGGTTGAGGGGGCGTTAAAAGGGGACAACTCAACTCGTGACTCGATTGACATTTGAATGAGAGTGGAAAATGTGCAAAACGAGCGGCGGTGGCTACCAAAAAATATAAAAAAACAACAAAAAAACAACACACTCGCACACAAAGTGTGTCCCCCTTCCCCGACGAAATCAATATGCGGTAATGCATTTTTCAGCTATGCAGGTATTACAACAACAATAACAACGAGAAACACAACAATGGTCCCAAAAAGAAGCCATTATCATGCAATGTTTGGGTGCAAGGCAGCTGCCAATGCAATCGAAACATTTTCGGCAATTGCACAAGAGCCAGCCGAATTCGAATTCGAATTCGAATCAAATTCAAAATCAACTAATTACCATTAAATTAAATGCCAGTCTCCCTGGTAGCTTAAATGGTCAACGAACTCACTGGTTTTAAGTCAAAAATATTTTTTTTTATTCCAAATATCTTGAGTTAAGACATATTAAATATTTTATTTTTAGCATATGGTTTTTGAGCTACAAAAATTTATATTTTAAGTAATTTTAAGTAATGTGTGTACAGCATTACACTCCAGTACATAAATGCAATGAAATTGGGAATTAAGGTCGCTTCTTCATTTCTCCATTATTAACAACTCTTTATTCTTCCCCTTTTTGTTTTTCTTCTGAGGGCAGCGCCACACATTAGTCTTTCCGTTTTCGAGGCTCTGAAACCGCCAACCTTTTTCTTCCATTACGTAGAGCCCCAACATATGGGTGGTAGTCAAAATATTTGATCGAGGGCCGACTCCTTTTTCCCCATTCCCGAGACCTTTACCCCTCAGCTGCCAGCCCCTTCGGTGTCAGAAACCACGACAAGCGCAATTAATCATTTTTTGAGCTACACGTTAAGAAAACATGTCCTTAAATTTGATTTCGTTTGGTCTTAATTTAGAATAACATTTTGTTTGTTTCAATTACGCTGTAAAAATTAAAAACTTCTGAAATATTAATAGTTTAATAGGAAGAAATAAGACATTCACCATCATGTATAAAACGCAATTATTAATTTGAAATCGTAAATATTTTTTTTCAAAAGCCAATCACTTTTAAACTTAATTTCGGAGGTTACTTTTTAATTATTTATTTTTTTCCCAATTGTGTGTTTTTGGGACTCAGAGAATTGTAAGTATTTAAATATCAAATCGGACAAATTCTGTCTACTTATATTTACAAACTGACTACAAAGTTTCCTTAAATATACCAAGAATATATATATTTGGATTATACACATTAGATTGTGTCTTTTGCGCAGTGTACTCTCATTTGTTTTTACAAGTATTTTACCTTTGATTTCTTGCATGAAAAGGGTTCATCTCTATCTTTATCGCCCTCTCCCTCTGTCTCTGTCGGTCTCTACCTATCTCTCTCACACCCTTAATGGTTCTGCATCGCACTTGAAAATTTGTTGACCGAGGCTGTTAATGAAGCGTGCAGTTAATTGTTATTGTTATTGGTGCCGCTCTGCTCTTGTTGTTGCTTTGGCCTTTTCTAAGGGGAATCTGTAAAGAAATTGTTTGTGAAATGAAATGATTGCCGGCTTTGATTTTTCCACCAGCATAATTCATTTTTCCAGTTCGAGAGTCAAAAAACTCATCAATTACAATGTCAGAATCTTGGCAACATTTATTCGGCCGACTCTTAGCAACATGTTGCTATTGGAAAAAAATAGAAATTCGGTTTTAGTTATTTGTTTTTCTATTAATTTATTTCCAAAAACTAGTCTTTATTTAAAATAAAAACAAAAATTCATCACAATATTTTATTTGTTGAGCAGCACCAAATCGCTTGCAACATTTAATGCTGTTGCTTGGCGACATGGAGCAACAAGTGCACATGCGCTTAGCAACATAAAAATAAAGAGAGAGCTCTGTAAACGATTGAACCGGTTAACATCAAAGAGTAATTAGTGGAAGTAAATATTAAGAAGTTTATTCAGATAAAGACAGTTTACTTCGGAAAGTTGATAACAAAATTTTTGTATATTATAAAACAATAGATTTGCTATTTTAATGTAGGTAAGTATTATTTTTTTTATAATTTTAATATTAAATTGACAATATATTGTTAAATATAACTAACAGGATAGTATTTAAAAATTCCGCAGTTTTGATAAAAGATGTCATTTATTAAGTCCAGGAATTTTTTGATGTCATTGTTTTACTTGGACCAAGACTTAACAACGGTAATTTTCACATCGCTCAAAGTTGTTTTAACAGACGGTTCTGCTGTAATGTAATCAAGTATCGGTTAACATTTTCAAACAGCAGAGACCTTGTGCAGAGAGAGAGATAGACTGACAGAAAGAAAGAGAAATTTACACTATAAGTAAAAAGTATTATAGTTTTAGTCAGATGTTTGTAACGCAGTCAAATCTTAACAACACTATGGTCGAGAGTACGACTGAGTGCGAATATTTAAATACCATGTTTTAATAGATTTGGGATTGAATATGCAGATTTTTTTTTTATTTATAAGCTCGCAGCGCAAACCTATTTTAAAATAGTTTGCAAAGGAATTGTGGTATCGTTAAAAACAACTTTTACTCACTTGCTATCATATATGAAGGCAGAATATGTTTGTTGAAGGGTATTATAGAAGTCGACTTCGTGGAGATGTGAATCCGGCGTTTTTCGTTTTCTCCCACTTCTAGGCCTTAACGGTGATGCGCTCTTGCTGGCCTCTCATTCGTGCTGCTGTTAGGAAAAGACGATTTAACATTTCTGTTAGGAGAACGACGACTGAGGCTCTTTTTACGCTCAAAATCAAATTCACTGTCTCGCCGTTCGGACGTGCCCGTTGCCGGTTGGAATTGCTTGCACGTACGGTTCGCTTGAAAAGAGAGCGCTTTCGTTAAGCGCGAGAACAATAATAAATACCGGGTCGACGAAAATACTACTAAGATAACAAGAATAATACGAGAAATACGAGAAAAAACAAAACAAAGGACGGCGGTGGAGGTGAAAAGCAGAAAAAGCCCAAAACTTCTGTGTTTTTGTGGCTTTCGCGGCCGTGAGTGTGTGTATGTGGCGGTGTTTTTTGTGCGTAATTGTGTGCGTGTGTGCCAAAGCCAAGAATCAAAGTGCAAAGCGAAATTGAATAATTTCCCCATCCCTCCCTCGCTCTCTTTCTCACTGAATGTGTAACCAAAATACCCGCAAAATAAGAAAAGAATCTGAAGCTGATAAAGGCTCCGAAGTGAGGTAAACAAAGGCTGGCTTTGGAGGCCAAAACAACAGCAAGCCAATGTCTCGGCTTACGTAACACCGCATCCTTGCAAATCGAAACAAAAACAAATCGAATCGATTGAGAAAAAAGAATAGCTCCGCTGCCATGCAATTTCTGGGAGCAGTTTGAAAGTACCTACATTTCCGCACTCTCTCTCTCTCTTTTTCTGTCCCCTTCAACTCCCCACCCTTTTTTTGTTAATTGAAAAAAGCATCGAAAATGTCAACTGCGACAATAACAACAACGGTGGCTGCCGCCCCCTCAAAGTCGGCACCACCCACACCAACAACAACAAACGCACGCACCGCCGACTGTCGCAAATTCACGCCGAACATTTTCAACAAGAGCAAGTGCAGCCACTGTTTTCGGCAGCGGGAGGAGCACTCGGCCGCCGCCTTGGAATGCAATAGGGTGAGTCTAAAATTTAAGGTTAAATACTACAGAGTTTAATGTGTTTTTGTTATCGGAGGTGTTTTGACTAGACAGATTTACCAAACTCATCCATCATAATAATACCAAAACGCTTTTAAGGATAGGCTGTGTTTAATTTAAAATAAAGAGTTTACTATTTTTTTTTTTGTTTTTAACAAAATGTAGCACTATATTCTTTTTTACGAATGTGCACTGTACTTTCAAGTCTTGAGAAGTCAAAAAAACTTGGGCATAGATTTATTTTCGAGGGTGCCATATAAATCTTTATTTAGTTTTCAACTCTGTGCGGGCTTTTCTTTATTATTCTTTTGTTCAAAAATGTGTGATTCGGTTTGTTCTTGCTCTGGACTATTAGTTTTTCGGATTCTTACTGCAGTTGTGGACAGTTGTGTAGAATTTATTGGAAATTTATGTGGGGGGATTAACTAAGCCGCCCTTCCCTAAATTTAATTTGAATGTTAAAAAGATGCAACTACAAATGTATTAATAGTGAACAAACAGTTGTAAAAACCAGAATTTTGATGTAAAATATTGATGAACCTGATCGTTCTTAACAATAATTTTAATTAAAACGCTTTTAATTAAAATAGCTTAATCTAACCAGTAAAAGCTGTCAAAGCTGGCACATTTTAGTTTGATTCAACCAACTTTTTATGGGAAAAAACAAATGTTTTGACCAAGATTAATTCATCAACTTGATCTTAAGCATCATTCGCCCACGGGCAAAATCATTTTCTAATCTTAAAACTTTCGTTCAATCAAGTTACAAAAAAGACCAGAAGACAACCAACATTTTAAAAACAAACAACATTTCGGCGAGACAAAGGAAAACTCTCGCTTTCTCGTTTCTTTGGAATTTTGGATAGAATTCGGGAAAGAAAATAACGATACGGAAAAAAATGCCACCGAAAACTAATTAAAATAACAAAAACTAATCAAAGCATAGAAAACATAAAAACCCACCAAGTCTGTAGGAGAGGGCGATTAGCCGGAGGAAAAAGTGAAAATCGTTTATTATGTTTACCCGGGCCGGGCTTGGGTCACAAAAAATTTACGACAATACAACGCCCCAAACTAAAACACCGTGCCGGGGTCGAAGTCAGAGCTGAAAGGCACACCGGCTTTTTTATATGCCCATGATAAGTTTTGGAATTTGTATTTAATAAACATAAAATCGTCGTCGTAAAACATCGAAGAAAACTAAGCGCGGTCTTGCCTTTTTGAAAACTAAAACCAGAAGAGTAGTTTACCATTGGGAAAGTTTCGGATTTCGTTGCGAACTATGCAAATGAAGGTGGTAGAAGAACAGCGGGAGAGATATGTCAACTGCTTCTAAACACTTGTCGAAAGATAAAGATTCAAGATTAAACATCATTTGGACATACAATATCTTATCTTATTTCTTTTGGAGATTAAGCACATGAAAAGGATGAAAGAGTTGAGATACAAAATTTTAACTCGTAGATTTTCAAAGCATAAAAAGAGATTTAAATAAATTAAAAATGGTAAGAAAATGTTTTCAAAATCTTGAATCTTGATATGCTACTTTTGCTTTGGTCTGGCTCCCTGCAATTTTTGGTGTCTGCCCTGTCAGATCATTTATTAATATTCTTTAATTTGCTGTGCTCATTTCGTGAAGATGTATTTTTAAACAGCTGACCCTAATAAATTCTGATCTGTTGTTGCTTGTATTGCTGTTCTAGTTCCCAATTCTGTAGACAGGGAATTTTGTGCAGTTTGCGTCTGTGTTTTATGGGTCGACAAATGTTTTATTATTGTGCATAGTTATTTTTCTGATCACTTAAATTGACGGCCCACAAGTGCCGGGCATTTTGAGAAGCCTGCAAAAATTAATTATGCGATTGCCAAAAGCAATTTCTGTCTTGCCTCTTGTCTGTTTGCCAAATTGGAATAGGGGTTTCTTTAATTGATCACCCAAAATTTCTAGCGCAGCCTGGCCTGAGGCAGAAATTGGTTTTTGTGGGCTAAGTGAGCGTAGAAATCAAAATTTTTGTTTTCCAAAAGCTTCAAATGTGTCCGTGAGCAGGGGGAGAGCACACTTCAACTGCGTGACTGATCTTAAGAAACAGAGTCAGAATGACCTCCATGAAATTAGCACAAAACGCTCACACACAGACCTACTCCATTGTATTGTAGACCATTTATTGAGGAAGTCACAGGCCCGAAAACAACGAGAACTCATAGAGAAACACTTTTTGAAAGACCCGAGGCCATCAGCACTTGACAGCCGTGAAAAATGTCGCCCTCAGGGGAATCGAGAATGGAGAGTGCGGATTGCAGGGGGTATGAAAATGATCCATAAACTGGAGAACTAGTTGATCGATTTGTTGGCTTAGCTGTTCCTGGCAGCATTTCCTAATTTATAAATAACTCGAGTTACAATATTGAATTACCCGCGCTGAGCGGAGCGTTGGAGTCAAGTGTTCACAAAGAAGAAAATAAATAAACTTTACTATTTGAGTGTGAAAGTCATTTGAGTCAATATCCAGTGGGTAGAACAACTGTGTCAACAAGTCAGTGGAGACGGCGGGCATTGGGAAGTGGAAGTGGACGAGGAAGTGGAGCAGGGCAGGGGTGAGTCGCCATAAGTTGGCAGATCTAAGGTTAAACACCCTAACTAAGAAACTATTAAACTGTTTCCTACCATGCCAAACAGCGTGGGTTTATTGTGAAACTAATTTAGGAAGCAGAAAATTTTTGTGGTGTTTGATATTAGTTATAAAGTTGCAAATCTTAAGATATAAGTTTCAACTTATTATAAAGTTTTTTTGATATTAATAAGTATTTTAATTAACTATTCTTTTAAGTAAGCTTCAGTAAGAAATTTCAAATCCCTGGATCTAATTAAGTTTGAAATCAAAAGATTTTCGAAGATTTATTTTCTCCCTTTAAGACCCATAAAATGTTTTGTGTTTTCGGTTACAGCATAAATTTTGTTGGTGTACCTACTTTTTCAGTTGCTAGTTCGAAACAAGCAAGAGGCAATCTTAGAAACTATTTTTAAAACAGTGGGACTTCGTTACTGTTGTCATTAAAGAACCCCTCCGGCTGTAGACATTTTAAAGTCAAATCTGGGCACTGGGAACCGTGCACTTCGGCGCTGTGCTCCGCACTCCTTCAGTTTGCTCCACATTTGGCTCCCCCTTCGGCCGATGCAGTTGCTCCGCAGCTAATATGTATATGTATGTAAAAATAGAACTCAACTCTTGGCTTCCGCTCGTCGAGCGGCAATTAGAAGGCGTCGGCAGCAGTCAGTCCCAGTCGCAGCCCCTCAAGACCCCTCCAGCGGTCCCCTTTTGCGGTTACTCAACCGACAGACCTCACAGGCTTAGTCCTCCCCCCCCCCACCATACTTCTTCTGCTCGACAGTCGTTCTAAATTTAGCAACACTTTTGCTTTTGTTTCTCGCTCTGCAGAGAGTGTCCATGTTGGCCTGTCTTCTGCTTCGGTTTTGACTAGTGCATAAATGCTGGGCCATAATTGTTGCATTGTCTGTCGCCGATCCGAAGGCTAATGAAGCCGGCAAAAGCGTCCCTAACACGGCTCTCGGATTACCTGGCCATGGGATCGGACGGGTCGGCGGCATGGGATGGCATACGATGGGATGTGATGGGATGGGTTGGGATGGCATGGTAGGACCACCTATCGTTAGGGGATCCCTTTGTAGTTGGCGGTGCGACAGGAAAATGCGCTAAAACAAAGGCCAAGAAAACGCGACGAGGTGCAAAACGGATGTCAGAATGCATTGTCAAGTCAATGGAGCGGAACATTTCAGTTATCGGTTGCCATCCACTTCAAAACCCATTATTATCGAGAAGATGAAGCTCGTGTTTTTCTTTTCGGGGGGCTATGCCATGTTGACAGGTCAGGTCAAAGGCTTGCAGCGTTTCGGGTTCTAATGCCCCAAAAAGGCAAAAGCCAGCCCAATACTCAGGGAAAATCTCATCTTGCAACTATTTTTGTTTTGCTTTTTGCCCGGGCGCGTGACTGGGCACCCCACCAAGACTAAGACTAAAACTAAAACCTAGACTTGGGACCCCACCAAGAGGTCTGGCCCATAGGCAGTAATTGTGGACTTTTTGCTGTTTTCGGCGGCCGTCTATTTGTCTGGCAAAACAATTGGCTTGGGACACCGTGGGCACAGATACCTAGAATACTTAAAATCAAATTATACGTATTTTCGAAGACATAAAACCTTTTTTAAAGAGATACATTAATGAAACTAATATTATACTGTATGCTTTACCATATTCTTTAATATAAATTGGGCTCTGGCATACTAAATAATATTTTTTTTCCTTTTTATATTGTATTGATTTAAAAATGTTTCCGATTAGTTTCCGATTTCAATGTGGTGACTCTAAAATGTATTGTTCAAATCGTTTTATGATGGAAAACGTTAAAAATTAATAAAACTTTAGCTTATGATCAATAAAAGTACAAAAGTTGGTTCACTGTTGGGGAATCGGGTGTCATTTCGGGCTGTGTGCCCCCGTTGAGCATTTGTCTATGATTCTCCCTTTTTTCGCTGTATTACCCTCTCCGTTTCACTGTTTGTACAAGTCGGTTGGACATCGGTGTCCTAGGTGCCTGCCTATCCCACCAAAAAGATCTCAATTGGTCCCCGGGGTGTTATTGAGCTATTGGCAGCAGCATGCCATGAGAGACGGAGACTTCCATGCCATCATCCTATATGCCATTCCGTCCAGGTCTCCAGTGGAGTCGCCATAGACCTCATTCTCTCGGTCTCTTGGTCTCTTGGTCTCTCGTGTTCCCCTTTGGCCCTTTGAGGCCTCTTTCCTGGGCTCGTTCTCAGTTTCTGCCAGTGTGCCTGGTGCCTGTGTTGTTTGTCAGAGAAGTATACACATAATAAATATTACTTTTGCACACCCATCCTGAACACCATCACAACCCCCCCACCCCCCATTCCGCACCTGTGGCATACCTTCGTGTATCCT